TTTTTTTAATTTTTTAAATTTTTTTTTTTTTTTTTTTACATAATCATACAAAAAGTTAAAAATGTCAACCATAAGACCTGTTGCAAATGTTTATAGCACGAATGGTAAGAAAGTTGTTGGTGAAATAGAAATACCTGTAGTTTTTCAAACACCAATAAGAAATGATTTAATACAAGAGGTTTACAAAAATATGTCAAAAAATAGAAGACATCCATATGCCGTTAAACTAGAAGCAGGATATGAAACATCGGCTGAATCTTGGGGTACAGGTAGAGCAGTTGCAAGAATTCCAAGGGTTCCTGGAGGAGGTACTCACAGAGCTGGACAAGCTGCTTTCGGAAATATGTGTAGAGGTGGTGGTATGTTTAATCCAACAAAAATATGGAGAAGATGGGGAAGAAATATTAATTTAAAAGAAAAAAGATATGCTGTTTGTTCTTCTATTGCTGCAAGTGGTGTTACATCTTTAGTTTTAGCAAGAGGACATCGTATAACAAACATCAAAGAAGTCCCCTTGGTAATCGAAAGTGATATAGAACGTATCTCAAAAACAAAAGATGCTGTGAAGTTTTTATTAAGCCTTGGATTTAAGGATGAAATTAACAGATTAATTAAGGATGAAATTAACAGATTAATTAAATCTAAAAAAATAAGAGCAGGAAAAGGAAAAATGAGAAATAGAAAACATAAAATTAGAAATGGTCCTCTCGTTATTTATGATAAAGATGAAGGTATTAAAAAGGCTTTTAGAAATATTCCAGGTGTTGATTTATGCAAAGTTACAAGATTAAATTTATTAAAATTAGCTCCAGGAGGATCTATAGGTAGATTATGTATATGGAGTGAAAATGCCTTTAAAAAATTGGATGCTATATATGGAAAAATAAATGTAAAAGGAATTACTAAAAAAAATTATATTTTACCTAGGTCAATTGTACATAATCCTGATATATACAGAATAATTCATAGTGACCAAGTTCAATCAAGTTTATTGGCAAAAAAAAGACCATGTAAAAAAAGATTACAATATAAAAATTCATTAACTAATTTTGCTGTAAGATGTAGACTTAACCCAGCTTATAAATTATTAAGATCACTTGCCATACAAAAAATAAGAAAAAATATTAATGAAAAATCAGAAAATAAAAAAGAAAAGAGAGTCAAGAAAAAAATAGAAAAAAAAGAACTTAAGAAAATTAATCATGATTACTACAAAAGTGTGTCCAACTCAGTTAAGAGAAAAAAAAAGAATGAAGAAAAAAAAGCAAAAACTAAAAAGAATGAAAATAAAACCTTGTTAACCACAGCAACAGATGAATAAAAAAAAAAAAAAAAAAAAAAATTTGAGCTTTTTATGCTCATTTTTATTTTTTTTTTCATTTTTTATTAATTTATATTTTATGAAAATAATTTTTTTTTCTTTTTTTGCTAGTATTAGAATTATTATTATTTCATTATTTTTTTTTTTTATATATATATATTATTTTTACTTTTTAATTTTAAATTATATTATTTTAAAATATTTTAATAACAAAAAAAAAAATAAGAAAAAAAAAGAAAAGGTAAATAGAAATATAAATTATTGTAATATATATATATATATATATTCGTATAAATTTAAAAATTTTTAACATTATATTTCACATCCTTAATTTATTTGATTTTACTTAATATTATTTTATTAATAATAATAATGTATACATTTTCTATGTTACAAAAAAAAAAAAAAAAAAAGGAAACAAAATTTTAATAAGGTATAAACTTTTTTGTTCAAATGTTCATATCTATGAAGTAGTTATTAAACTAAAAAATGTATTTTTTTTGATAAAATAAGTTTCTGAATTTAATATATGATGCTATTATTTTTTTTGATGTGAAAATTGAATTATTAAAAGTAATACAATTATATTGTGAAATTTGTAGTATTGATAATTTCACGTATTTGTAAAATGATAATTTTTTAAAAAAATTATTTATAATAAAGAAGTGTTATAATAATTAGGCGAATTATGAATAAAATTATAAAAACATATTTAAATTTTTAAAATGTATTATTTATAAAAAAGGAAAAAAAAATTATTTTATTTTAATTTTTTTTTTTTTTTTTTTTTTTTTTTTTTTTTGTACTTTAGATTATCATTTTTTAATTTAAATATGCTTTTATTAATTTATAAAAATTTTTCTTTGTTTCTATATTAAATATACACCTTTTTTAAGTGTATTATGTTCATGCATAATTTTTTTATATAAGAACTTATTATTATCATATTGTTCTATAATATATGAATATTCTTTTTAAAATAAAAAAAAAAAAAGTAGTCTTGTTAATACTTAACACATAATATATAGTATTATTCATTTTTTTTATTTAATTAATAACATTAATAATTACATATTTTATTGTTTATTTATAAAATAAAGCAAACAATATAAGCCAAAAATAATTTTTTTTTTTTTTTTTTTTACAAAGCTTGAATAGAAAAAATAAAAATAAAATTTAAATGAATATATTAGAATTTAAAAAATGAAAAAATTAAAAGTTTTTTTTTAAAAATGAGTATTAATAGAATAAATAAAATTATTCTTTGTTCTAAAGTAGAACTGAAATCTATTGAAAAAATTGATTTTTACACAAATACGTCTAAAAGTATAGTAAAGTAAAAGAAGGAAAATAAAAGAAAAATGTAACTAAAATACATAGTATTCATTAATATATATAAAAATATATTTTTTTTCTGATAGAGATTTTTGTGAGTTTTTTTTACCATTCTTAAAATATAATAATTTCAATGTAGTATGTAACTTTCATAATATAAAAGAAAAAAATGAAAAAGTTGTGTTATCACCGAGTAAAAATAGATAAATTATATTTTTATATTTATAATACAATGTTTTATTAAAAACTTTTTTTTTTTAATTGTGAAATATTTATTTTAATAATTATGTACTTATTTTTTATTATTTATATTATTATGAGTAAAAAATTCATTTGACATTTTTGTTCCAATTAAAATTTTTTTTTTTTTTATTTTAGAAAATAGAGATATACACATCATCAATTTATGCTTATACAAATATAGTCAACAATTATATGATAGGATAATTTTTTTGGATAAAAAATTTTCAGAAGCTCAAATTTAAAAGTATTTATCTTTTATTGTTGTCTGAAATTTTTTTTTTTTTTTTTTTATATCATATATATTAAATTGTAATTTAAATAATTGTAAAAAAATAAAATTAAAAATATATAATGCATAAAAATGAAAATTTTTTTATTTTTGCTAATTTGATTTTTTAAATTATTTTTTGCATATTTGATGAATATTTACATTTAAGCAAATGTTGCATTTGAAAAGACGTTTATGGTTTTATTTTGTTTTTTTTTTTTTTTTTTTAAACATTTATAAAAAATAATCTATTCATATGAAAATTTTAATGAAAACATGAAATGTTCTAGCTGAGAAGTTTTTTTTTTTATATAATAAATATTTGAAAAATATTTTTATAAAGGTAACATATAAAAAAAAAAAAAAAAAAAACTTTTTAAAAATGCAACTGTTTTTTAGTTAAGTTTTTTATTTAACTTTAACAAAACATTGAACTGTAGCTAAAATTTTATAAGAAAAATTTGTCTAAAAATAAACACAAAGGTTTTCTTTTTTTTTCATTTTCTAAATTATTTTGAATGAATATAAAATAAAACCATATTTCCATTGTTTGTACAGTTTATATTTGTACAATGCACATTTAAAGAGTCAAAATTGACAAAAATAGTTCACATATTTTTATATTAATTATTATATTCCATTTATTATTTTCCGTTTAGTATGTTTTCCTTTTTTTCTTTTTTATTAAAACTTTTTTTGTGGCATATATTGTCATTGTTCATTTAAAAAAATATTATTTAAAAAATTTTTTTTATTTAGTCCTTGTGTGTACATTTTTTTTTAGACAATATTTTATTTACATATATTAATAAATGCAAACTTTCCTTTTTTAACTTGTATATATATATTTTTTCTTCTATATATTTATACACAGATATTTAGTATATTATTTTTTTAATTCGATTTTCTTTTTAATGATACATTTTATTAATATACTTGTATCATAAATTAATAATTTAATATAAATGGATAATTATATACATATATTTTTAATCTCTCCTATAAAAAAAACAACAGTCTTATACGATAACATGCAAAAAGCATAAAACCATCTAAAATATCTAAAAATTAACATAGTTTGTTTTTTTATTTCTATTTCATTATTTATATCTTTAGTTTTTTTTTTTTTTTTTTTTTTTTTTTTTTTTTTTT